CTGAAAGCAAAGGCTCTCCTCACTGACGAGCTGTGAGACTCTGAGCAGGTGACTTAACCTCTCGGAGCCTCCATTTCCTTCTCTGGAAGGGATGGTCAGCTTGGGTTCTCCCTGGGGCTGACCAGCAAACTGAATGAAGCTACCCGTGTGAAGCACCAACCCCGGGGCCCAGCACAAACCAGGCACCCCAGTTCTGCAGGGGGTTGGGTGTCGTTCCAACTCCTCTCCCTTCCTCTCCCCAATTTACTCTCCAGTAAACAGAAGACGCTGAAAGGAGGGGACGCAGGGATACAGGGAGGCCACGTGTTGATACACACACGCGCACACACACACACCCCTGTAGACAGACACAGCCACGGACACACATGTAGACATAAACATGTAACTCACGCAAGACAGATACACAGTTGTGACTCACACAGACACACAAAGGCACAGCTCTAGGCCCCACCCCTTGAGAAACTCTTCCAGCCTCACCAGAGGCTTCTTTTAGCTGCTCCCCACTGCCCCCTAGGGCTGGCTGCATCTCCTCGGAGCAGGGTGCCCATCCTGCAGAGCCCGTGAGGCCCAGAGGGTCCACAGTCCCCAGCCAGCTGAGCCTGAACTCCACCCCAGGGCCCGGAGAAGAGGAGGTGGGACTGAGGAAGGTGCCAGGGCCGGACCCCCAGGCTCCTTGGACTCACCTCGGAGTTCTCCACCACCTTCTCTAGGTACTTGTTGAAGATGGAGTAGTCCTGCAGCTTGGCGCTCAGCCGCTGGTGCTCCAGCCGCAGCGCCACCATCTCCTGCTTGCCCTTGCTCAGCTCCTGCATGTGCTGGCGCTTGAGTTCTCGTTCCTTGTTGGCTTTCTTCATGGCGCGGATCCGTTTCTGGTCGTTCTCCTGGGGCCGGGGGAGGCGGTGCTGGTCAGGAAGCCTCTCCCAGCCCTCCCGGGGCCCAGGCCTTCCTGGGGCTGGTGGTGCCCTCAGACCCCTCTGTCTGCACAAACCATCCTGGCAACAGGCAGAGATTGCTGGGCCACCCATGGGGCAGAAGAGGGGTGAAGGAAAAGGTTCTCCAGGGTTATTTGAACCTGGTTGAAGAGATTTCTGTGGACTGGGGTGGGGCTCAGGGGGCTGTGAGGACAGAGGTTTAATCCAAAGTCAAGAGGTGACCTGGGGTCGGCAGGGGGCAGACGGGAAATGGTTCTTTCCTGTGGGACTTGGGCTCTGGACTTCAGAGAGTGGACTGGGGAAGACCTACACTGCACTGGGCTCAGAGTCTGGAAGAACTCAACCCCCTGAGAAGACTAAGAAAGTCCAGAAGTGGGAGCGGGAACCCTCCTGACAAAGCTTGTGTGGTTTCTGTTCTTAGCGGTGGCCATTTTCCATGGAGCAGAAGGACCACTCCCAGACCAGAGCTGGGAGGCGGGAATTTTCTCCCAATTTGGTACTCGGTGCCTCCATTTTCCCAGCTGTGGAAATGGGAGGCAGGAGCCCCTCTCCCTTTCACAAGCTGGGGCAACAGGGCTGGAGTTCCAGGAAGATGAGAGATGCGATGTGCCTGGTACCGTAGGGCCTGGGGAGTAAGGCCACTGGGAGAGCATGCTCCTAGGAGCTCAGACTGGCATCCCGCTGAGGGAGGAGATGGAACAGGCAGTTCGATGCCCAGAGGACAGAACGAGGCTCAGTTACTGCAATCAATCCAATCCTGCCTCTTTCTTCTGCAGAGCCCTCCCCTAAGATTAGAGGCAAGCCCACCCCTCGCCCTGTGTGGCTCCTTTCCCCCTTCAGGGGCTCCTGTGATTCCACATGGACGGGTGTATGTGGTGGTGGCACTTGGAGGCCACTGAGGGAGGTGCATGGAGGATCTGTATGCTGCCCTGTAAGCCCAGGAGAGGACTGAGGGGGTCTAAACCAGTGACTTTCAAATCCACCTGGTCATCAGAACTGCCTGGGGAGCTTTTAAAAAAATATAGAAGCCTGGGCCCAACTTCAGACGTGCTGAAAGCAACAAGGGAAGCCCCTGGGGTCTGTATTTGTAGCAAACTCTCTGGGAATTGAAGCTACCGACCCTCTGAGAGCCATTTGGAGAAATCATGCCCAAATCTTCTGTCCCAACCACTCCGTAAGTGTTTCTCTGGCTGCTAAGAAGAACTAGACCTCTGGAGAATGTGCCAGTCCAAGGACTTCCTGTCCCACGTGGCTTAGGCACAGAGCAGGAAGGAAGGTGCTTCAGAGTGAGGCTTCTGTGTGGTCGACGGCAATCATTACCCACTCCCGGAGCTGGACCAGGCCCTTCAGGGCCACGTAAGTGCAAATTGGAGTGGGTCTGGATAAATCTGAACTTTTAAGATGATTAAATTGCTCCACTAAGGACTGAAGTGAGAGAGGATGTCTTGGAATGGACTCTAGTGCCTGGTCCTTCAACCATCCCCTGCCCGGACCTTCAGTGCAAGGACAAGGATGGAGGGGTGGGGTGGGTGGAGGGACTAAAACTCTGTCCCATTCATCACTGTATTCCCCAAGTGTTTAGTCCTGACTGTAGCATCTTCATTCATTCATCCATGCGTTCATTTACTGGAGAAACTCTACGTCCTAGGTACTGGAAAGGAAATAGGAAACAGCCATCTAGAGGGAGCAGAGACTGACAGGTAAATGGAAAATTACAAACGGAGACAGGTAGGGGACATAAAGGATGCCTAGGGAGGTGCCAGGCAATGTTGAAGCACTAAGGATGCTTTTAACTCAGGGCGAGGAGTCAGCAGAAGCGAGGAGGAGGAGCGGTAGTTTGCCCACCTGCGGAGTGTGGATCCCCCGGCCACTGTGGCTGCCCACACCCCTTCAAACCTGGATGAACTGCTCAAACTTCTGGATGTGAGCCTTCAGCTGGGCTTCCTTAACGCCCAGTTCCTCCCAGCGCAGGTTCAGGGTTTCCATTCTGCGCTGAAACATCTTTGGGGTGGGGGTGGGGGTGGGGGAGCAGAGAGGTCAGGAGGGCCTCTGACATGAGTACCGAGGAAGACCCCTGCCCCAGAGGCTCCATGCCCAGGCCCGAGGGTCCGTAGGAGCCTCCCACTTTCTATCCCATGCCTGGCTCAGAGCAGAGCATACCTGGACAGTGGTACCCCCAAGACCCAGATCCTTTCTGTTCTCCCCAAAGAGACCAGACCACATAGAGGACTCCTGGCTCTAGCCACCCCACCCAGACAATGGAGGGCTGTCTACAGGCTCTCCCAGTGCCCCAGCCCACTCTCCTCCTTTCCTGCCCCTCTGCACTCCATCCCTGAGTCCTCACCTTTTTCTTCTGTAGCATATTATGATGCATGATTTTCGTCTCCTTTTTCTTCTCCAGTAGCCGGATAGATGGGGACTCCGACTGTCCCTGAACATTGGGGAGTTTCCTGTCCAAGATGTGAACACAAAAGGTCTGTGTGTTCTGAGAAGGGGTAAGCTGGGGCTGGGAGTAACCCGTGGAGACAGATACCCATGGGGAAGGAGAGGGGCCTCTCTCCCTTTCGGAGGGAAGGAGTGTTGTGTTGAGAAGCACAGAGGGCCATGCAGGAGTGAGCTGGGGAGGGTGATGGGGTGGAGACCAGCGTGATGGGGTGGACTGGTGCCAGGGTTATTTGGGGCACTGGGTTACAGGAGAGGAGGGGACAGACAGGTTGGAAGATGAGGCATGGGGTGGGTGTGAGTGGTCCCAGGCACAGAGGGGTGGGCAAGCCAGGCCTCAGACACTTACTGGAGCATCTGCAGCAGCCGCTCCCCGTACTGCAGCCGGAAGTACTCGGCCAGGTCTTCCTCTTCCATGATACCCAGACTCATGGTGGCAGTGACCTCACAGCCCAGGCAGCTGACTCTTCACAGTGAAATGGTGGGTAGCAGAGCCACAGGTGGCTCAGGGGTGCTGGCTGCGCTCTTGCTTCTCCCTTCCGCCTTCAGGGTCCCACAGATGATAGTGTTCGAGACTCCACAGAAGGTGGCTGGAGACAGGATGGGCCGCTCAGGATGATGCGCTGGGGCAGTGATGGGAGATGTGGTTACCTAGCAACAGGCTGCCTGGTTCTGTGGCCCACACATGGAGCCCAGGCGCTGCCCTCTGCCCCCTGCCCCCATTGGTCCTCCCCTTGCTGGGGTCATGCTCTTGCTCCTGCCCTTAGCCCTCAGGAACTCTGGGAAGGCGTTAGGCCTGCTTAGCTGCTGGTTGCCATGGAGCCCAGAGCCAGGAGGCACCTTTGGATGAGTGTGGCTGAGAAGGAGCATTGGGTAGAGGAGCGGTCTTGTGCGGGCGCCCTGCTCCTGGGGCCTCCCCGGGGTTCAGGTGTGGGTGAGGGTGAGGGAGAGGCCGGGCCTTGGTCGGATGGCGGTGAAGAAGAGCAGAGAAAGAAAGGAGGCGCTTAGCGGCAGCAGGGGTGGAGTCGCGAGGAGGCCGGAGGTTAGAAACCAGGCGGCGGCGGGCCCAGTACGGGGTGATGAGGGGCAGGGTAAGGGGGGACGGGTGGCGGGTGCGCAGGGACAGGCACAGGAGGAGGGCCCAGTCCAGGCCCCTCGGAGGAAGGGACTCGGGGCCTGCGCCAATTTCTTTTTTTTTTTTTTTTTGAGACGGAGTCTCACTCTGTCGCCCAGCCTAGAGTGCAATGGCAGGATCTCACCCCACTGCAACCTCTGCCTCCAGGGTTCAAGCGATTCTCTTGCCTCAGCCTCCCGACTAGCTGGGACTACAGGCGCCCGCCACAACGCCCGGATAATTTTTGTATTTTTAGTAGAGACGGGGTTTCGCCATGTTAGCCAGGCTGGTCTCCAACTCCTGACCTCAGGTGATGCGCCCGCCTGGGCCTCCCAAAGTGCTGGGATTACAGGCGTGAGCCACCGCGCCCGGCCCTGCGCGTTTTTGTTTGCAGAAACTTAAAATAGGAAGAAATGCCAAAACACGGTAACGGAAATGACCCTATTTAAAGTGTTGACTCCGTGGTGGCCGCCTTCCTTGATCCCGTCAGGCTGCATGAACTCATCTGGCCGGAGGTCGGACGTCTTCGCGTGGGACGGCGGGTGTGCGGCGGACGCCCTGGGGTCTCTGGCTGGACTCTGGCCGTGACCTTGAGCATGCTCCCACCGAGCGCAGGCTCCCTGTGCTCTCTGCCTCCCTCCCTCCCACGCCGGCCTCGCCGCCGGTTCCGCTCCTCTCTGTCTGGGACGCGGAGCCGGGTGGGGTGCGTGGGCTGCGGTGGGCTAGGGGTCTCGGGCGGGGGCGTGTCCCGAGCGCGGCCAGCCCGCCCCGCCGGATTGCCGGTCATCTGGCGCCCCCTGCTGGCCGTGCGCCGCCCCCTCCATCCCCGCCCAGGAGGAAGAGGAGACGTGGTGGGGTGGCGCGTCTCCTCTTCCTCCCCCGCACCCCAGCCCTGCTTTCCTCCCACGCTCCGCCGGAGCCTCCCATCCAGAGCAGGCCATCACACACACCTGTCGCTTCCAGCCAGCCCAGTGGGCTCAGCAGAGAAAGCAAGACAATCCCCACCCCACGATGCAAGCTCCTGGGAGGGGCACGTTTCCTTGTTTATCCAGAGAGGCTGGCACAGTCAATCTGGGGTTCCCCTCCCTTTCTCTGAGGTCGTAGCTCAGCCTGGGGGCTGTGCAACACCAGCCCTTGAGGAGGAAGCCATCTGTTTCTGGAATCACCGGTCCCCCCGGTATATGAGGCATATCCCTGATTGTCCGTGAAATCAGGTGGTCCAGGGCCAGGTTGGGCCATACAGGTAGCTGTAAGACATCCTCTGCTCCTGCCCAGGGATTTCCTCGTATCTGGAAGCTCTTTCTGCTGCTTGATTTGGTGCCTATCATGGGAATTTTCATGGTCTTGATCCTCGCACACCACCAGCCCTCTCTGGAGTCTTACTGCCCTCCTCGGGGCCCTGAGCAAGACGCAGGGCTGTCTCTTATACACATCTAGATGTGTATAAGAGACAGCCCCTCCCCTCCCCTCTCCTGAGGATATAAAAGAACTGAATAGTGACTTACAAAATGTCTAAATGATGATTCAATATGATAAAGCTGTACATTCCATCCAAATGAATTTAGGAATTTTATGCAATTGCAATCAAACTTTCAGAGAGTTTTCCCCCACAGATGTTGACAAAACAATGTAAAAGTTCATCTGGAGAACTGAGTACTTAAGGAACCATCACAAAAGAAGAATGAGAGGGAATGTCCACTGTTAGACACCAAAATGTGTTCTAAGGTGAAAGTGTTAAAACAGTATGTTGCTGGTGTCACTCCAGGCAAAAAACCTCAAGTGCTCTTAGGGCTTGAGCAAGTACCTTGTTCTAAGATAGGCCTGACTTTGTGAGCTGTCTAAAGGCATGAAAACTCACAATTTAAAAAGACACTTCTGACCAAAACCAAAGCAAGACCAAAAACACATCTGGAGGCCTGAAATGGGCTACAGGGCCACAGTTTATGATCCTTGATACAATAAACAGAATAGAAAATCCAGAAATAGTCCCAAGTTTCTATAGGAATGCATTATATGCTATCATGGCATATCCCAGTGGGGAAAGTGTAGAGTATGCCACAAATGGTGCTGGGATAACTAGCTCAATATTTGGAAAAAAAGAAAGACATATACAAACCAAATTCCAGATGGGTTTATTTAAATGGGAAATTAAATGTTCAATGTGAAAATTCATTATGTAGCAGTGTATTCAATGGAAATGATACTTTTCTGGTTTTTTGCCAATGGTGAGAGAACTGCCAGAACACAGCCTTGATCTCACAAGTCGTATGTGAGTCTCTGAAGACTTTACAAGTCTAATTTACAAGTTTACATTCCAACCCAAAGCCTAGAGAGTCTTCATTTCCCTGCATCCGCACTGCTGTGAACTGAATCTGTGCCCCCCTCAAAATGCATATGTTGAAACCCTGTCTTAGTCCATTTTCACGGTGCTGATAAAGACATACCCAAGTCTGGGAAGAAAAAGAGGTTTAATGGGAAGAAAAAGAGGTTTAATTGGACTTACAGTTCCACATGGCTGGGAGGCCTGAGTCATGGCGGGAGGCAAAAGGCACTTCTTACATGGTGGCGGCAAGAGAAAACGAAAGGGAAGCAAAAGTGGAAACCCCTGATAAACCCATCAGACCTCTTGAGACTTATTTGGATATCAGAATAGCACAGGAAAGACTGGCCCCCACAATTCAATTACCTCTACCTGGGTCCCTCTCATGACCTGTGGGAATTCTGGGAGATACAATTCAAGTTGAGATTTGAATGGGGACACAGACAAACCATATCAAACCCTAATCTCCAATATAATTGTACTTGGATATAGAGCCTTTGGGATGTATTAGCTCCTAAGGGTGGTGGTACCCTCATGATAGCTTTAGTGCCCTTTTAACAAAAGAGACAGCTTGCTTTCTCTCTCTTTGCTCTCTGCCATGTGACAGAGCAACAGGAAGACAGCCATCTGCAAACCAGCAAGCCGACCTTCAGCAGATGCTGCTTCTCCTGGCACCTTGATATTGGACTTCCCGGCCTCCAGAACTATGAGAAAGAAATATTTAAGATTTCCAGTCTGCAAACCAGCAAATGGGCCCTCACCAGACACTGCCTCTCTTGGCCCCTTGATCTTGGACTTCCCAGCCTCCAGAAACGTGAGAAAGAAATGTTTTAAGTTTCCCAGTCTATGAGAATTTGTTAGAACAGCCCAAACTAACTAAGACACTCACTAACATGGTATGTTACCAATCTCTTAAATTTTGCCAGTCTGATAGGTGAAGTTAGTCATCTGTATACAGTCATTTCTTCTTCTCCGAGTCTCCTGTTTGTGTTTCATATGCATTTTAAAAATCAAGTTGCTTTGCATTTTTATTGATTTATAGAAGGTCTTTATATATTCTGGAAAGTAATCCTGTATTTTTGATGCTCACTTCTACTTATCGTAATACTTTTGAGAAGATTGGTTGGACCCTCATTGGATGCAGCAAAAGACAGGAAGGCAACTCAGGCAGCAATCCGTGGCAGGCTGACCAACAGCCAGACACACAGGCAGATTCACCAAGTCAACAGAAGAACGAGCTTTCCTTTCTTCTAGGGTTGGGATTCTCTAACAGCAGAGATGGCACTAAACAGAAGACGTGGGCAATATTTGGTCTGTTTACCCTGTGACTACATCGTTGGCAGATAGATACAACAGACCTGCAGTCCCCAAGAATGTTTTGAATTTTTTTTTTTTTTTTTGTGAGAGGGTCTTGCTCTGTTGCCCAGGCTGGAGTGCAGTGGTATGATCATGACTCATGCAGCCTTGACTCCCAGGCCCAAGCAATCCTCCCACCTCAACCTCCTGGGTAGCTGGGACTACAGGTGTGCACCGCAACACCTGGCTAAGTTGTGTGTGTGTGTGTGTGTGTGTGTGTGTGTGTGTGTGTTTTTTTTTTTTTTTTTTTTTTGTGATGGAGTCTTGCTCTGTTGCACCCAGGCTGGAGTGCAGTGGCGTGATCTAGGCTCACTGCCACCTCCACCTCCCTGATCAACTGATTCTCCTGCCTCAGCCTCCTGAGTAGCTAGGACTACAGGCGCATGCCACTACGCCCGGCTAATTTTTTTTGCAATTTTTTTTTTAGTAGAGACGGGATTTCACCAGGATGGTTTCAATCACCTCACCTCATGATCCGCCTGCCTCGGCCTCCCAAAGTACTGGGATTGCAGGTGTGAGCCACCATGCCCGGCCCAGTTTTGTATTTTTATAGAGATGTGGTTTCACCATGTTGCCCGGGCTGGTCTTGAACTCCTGGGCTCAGTCTGCCCACCTGGGCCTCCCCAAGTACTCAGATGACAGGCATGAGCCACTGCACGTGGCCATCCCAAGAGTGTTTTGGGTGCTCAGGCTCGGTGCAGACTCTTGTTAACTCCCTAGGTTCATCCCATTATAAGTTGACTCTTGGACATTGCACAGACGCTTCTCAAATTCCTCCAAGATCTTACTTGCCTCGTTTGCGTGTGGTTTATGGTACTGGCGACACGAGGGTCCCAGAATGGAGGCAGTCTGTAACAATAGCTTCACGGTTCCATTTGCTGGAATAGTAATTGCGTTCTAGGTTCAGCCACGCTTGTGGTTACGCAAACATCAGCACTTTGCAACCTCCTCCTCCTTAGGTTGTGTGTTTGTCAAGCGTCTCCTCAGAGTTCACTGACTTCAGTATTTTGATTTCTACCAACTAACCCAAGATACTTCCCTCCTCTCATAAATAGTTTTACTGTATGGGCCGAATGCAGTGTCTCACGCCTGTAATTCCAGCACTTTGGGTGGCCAAGGGGGACGGATCACCTGAGGTCAGGAGTTCGAGACCAGCCTGGCCAACATGGTGAAATGGTGCCTCTATTGAAAATACAGAAATTAGCTGGGCATAGTGGCAGGCACCTGTAATCCCAGCTTCTCAGGAGGCTGAGATAAGAGAATTGCTTCAACGTGGGAGGCGGAGGTTGCCATGAGCCGAGATTGAGCCACTGCATTTCAGCCTGGGGAATGGGGCAAGATCCTTGTCTCAATAAATAAATAAATAAATAAATAAATAAATAAATAAAAGTGCTGGGCGCGGTGGCTCACACCTGTAATTCCAGCCCTTTGGGAGGTCGAGGCGGACGGATCACGAGGTCAGGAGATCGAGACCATCCTGGCTAACACGGTGAAACCCCATCTCTACTAAAAATACGAAAAATTAGCCGGGCGTGGTGGCGGGCGCCTGTAGTCCCAGCTACTTGGGAGGCTGAGACAGGAGAATGGCATGAACCCGGGAAGTGGAGCTTGCAGTGAGCCGAGATCATGCCACTGCACTCCAGCCTGGGTGACAGAGCGAGACTCTATCTCAAAAAAAAAAAGGAAAAAAAAAGATACAAAAAATTAGCCGGGCGTGGTGGCCTTTGCCTGTAGTCCCAGCTACTTGGGAGGCTGAGGCAGGAGAATGGCGTGAACGGAGGAGGCAGAGCTTGCAGTGAGCTGAGATTGCGCCACTGCACTCCAGCCTGGGCAACAGAGCCAGACTCCATCTCAAAAAAAAAAAGAAAAAAAGAAAGATTCAGCATCATTTTCCAGGGTTAATTAATTCGTTCAAATAACTAAAACCCCATTAAACAAAAATATCATTGGACAACAAATAAGCAATCCAGACCAATATGGTCACAATCATTGTGAAGATGAGAAAACTTCATCTTTATTGCATTTTCGCGGGCAGCACACTGCTCTGTCCTCTTTCAAACACACAGCTCCTGTCCTCCTTTCAAACACATGCCCTCTTTAAAGGAACATACAAATCTTTCAATACAAGCTGAAAAAATTACATCTGAATTTTCACAATTCAATAACACTCAACATCAAATATAAATTTATTTTTACAAGAATTTCGGGGACATGTCACCGAGCTAAAAATATAATAGATACATTATGTAACTAACCTAGGTAATAACAGTACTCCCTTCAGCAGCACATGTAATAATAGATAAAAAGATTTAAAAATAAGACATTTAGGATAAAAAGAATCCTCTCTTAAAAATGAAAACAGAATTATATTTTTATGTATATAACAGGTATAACACCCATCAACTTCATAAGAACAGTGTCTTTTAAAAAATACTTGTATTTCTAAACTAGTTAAATAAATGTAGTAAGAATGCCATGCCCATCATTTTCAAAATAAACAAATAAAATGTCTAGTGTATATTGGACATGTTAGTATATACGTAAGGCATGTTAAAAATCCCAACTGAATTCTCACAGTCCAGTAACAAACACTAAACAGAAAATTTATAAGAACATAGGGAAACTACCACCTAGCTATAAATATAATGGATATATTAGGTCAGTATCATAGCTAACAAGAGTGCTCACTTTGGGAGCACATGTAATAATAGATAAAACTATTTAAAGAGAAAACATTTGTGGTAAAAAGAATTCTCTCTTAAAAATGAAAACTAAATTATATTTATGTGTATACAATGACCATCACAGAACTCTATAGGAACAACATGTTTTCAAAACTACAAAAATTCGAAACTATTTCAAATCAACATAGTAATAATTCTATGGCCAACATTTTCAAAATAAACCAATAAAATGTATAGTATCTATTAAACTATCTTTTAAAATCCTATGGCAGTAATTTCATATTTAACAAAGAATTCTGTGACAATCTGAGCACCTGCGCTGTGCCTTCAAATGCTCTGGACTGTGGCAACAAAGTCCACAGGAAACGGGAACTCCAGCTTCGAGCCCAGGGGAGGTTGGGATTCAGCAATGTGAAAAGGGAGGTGGTGTTGCGGGAAGGGGTGGAACCAGAAACACCCCTGGTTTCTCACTTTCCCTCCACTGACTCCTAGAAGTACTTCCACGGCTCCTAGGAGGAAAACCTGGTCACTCTATTTTGCTCCTTCTAGAAGAGTCCAGGTTCTTCTAGATGATCTGCACAGGAGGCTCCTGGTGTCTGGCATTAGCGTTGGGATAAACTTCCTGCTGAAAATTCCCCTCTCCCCTGGGCCCAGTGTTCTGGAAGTGAGAGACAGGATGTCACACTTCAAGTAGGCAGATCTCCAGACAAGAAGGTTATTCCCATCCCACATCAATCCTAGCTAGAGTTCAGAGCAATGTATCAATCCGATTTTATCTCTAACCCTTCATTGTAAACCCTGATTCTGAGCCATCATTTTCGATTCTGACACTCACACTTTGGTGAGCTTGACTCCAAAAATCACTTAATACAGCCAAGGTCAGCCTCAGTGATCTGCTTCATAGCAAGGACTTTGGGTGGGTCCGCCCAGGGAGTAGAGCACCCTCAGAGAACGTGGCTTTGGACTTCGTCACACTTGGGGCCTTTCGTGTTGCTTAAGATCTAAACTTTTAACCATGCTACAAACATGTCTAACATGACAACCTCACGAACCAGCAGACCAGATTCCTAATCCTGAACCTTAATCTCTCATGTTTAAGTCTAATGCTCGGTCCTAAATGTGGTTAGCTGCACCAGATGTCAACCAAATCTTCACCGAATCCTTTCCCCAAATCAGTAACTCAAGTGTGTCAACCATAATGAACCTCCCTGGACGTAGGTAGTAATCTCATTTTTGAGACACAGTGTCACTCTGTCGCCCCGGCTGGAGTGCAGTGGCAGAATCACAGCTCACTGCAGCCCCGACCTCCTGGGGCTCTGGTGTTCCTTCCACCTCAGCCTCCTGAGTAGTGGGGACTAGAGGCACCCACCAGGATGCCCAGAAAATTTTTGTATTTTTTGTGGAGATGGGGTGGGTGTTGCCATATTGACCAGGCTTGAAGCCGGATCAAGCAGTTGGGTTCCTCGGATTTTCTTACAGATGAGAATATTCTGCCTTTACCCCGAAGGATACACACGTACCTTCCCTCAGGCCGATGACCTCAGGCCTCCACATCCCCAGAGCTCTAGGAAATGAGGGCGCGATCTCGGGCCCACACCCAGTGCTCTGGGTCATAAGCCTGGATCTGGAGAAACACGTACCGCTTGAGAAGCCAGGGTCTCCCCAGCAAGACCCTTCCCTGCCCTCCTTCAGCCTCCAATCCACCCCACCCCTCCCCACCCTCACCTCCTCATATGGCCCCACTTACCTCCTCCATCTCCTCTGGGGAAACCCACATCCTCCAGCGCATGGAGCAGATGAGCTGGTAGCGAAGCTTGTGGAACAAGGGTCGCCGGGAGTAGTCCTTGCCGTAGAGGAAGGAGAAGATGTCTTGTTTGGGGGCCTGGTTGTCCTCCTCCATGTCACTGGCCAGGTAGCTGGGGAGAGAGATCAGGTGGCTACTCAGGGGCCCCACCAGGAGGGACCCCTGCCTGAGGGCAGCTTCCCAGAGAGGAGGGGAAGGGACCGTCCTCAGCTCGACACCAACACCCACCCTGCAGAGAGCCCCGCCTTCCTCAGGAGGCCCCACTGGACAGAGACCTGCTAAGGGTGCCTCTCACACCTTCAGGAAGGCAACGATCCAAGTGGTGGCTGGGAGTGGTGGCTCTCACCTGGAATCCCAGCACTTTGGGAGTCCAGGCAGGAGGATCACTGGAGGCCAGGAGTTAGAGACCAGTCTGGGTAATATGGCAAGACCCCCTCTGAATTTAAAAGCAACCCAACTCTTATCCTAAGGATGTGTCCTGCCATCCTTATACAAGAGAGATGACATCACCTCATCCTAGTCCCCATCCATGTTCCTCCCACACCCCCCTTCCTTCTCATGTATGCACACACCTGTCTTCCCCCTCCATCGTAAGTGCCCCCAAGGACAGGAACTGACTGGTTTGTTTCTGTAAATCATTTCTTGCCTACCAAATGGCCAATAGAGGGCTTTGTTTATCTTGGTGCATTAATTCAACAAGCATTGCTGTGAACTCTCTCTTCCCATCCTTCCTACCCTGGCACGTATCATGTACTTTGTAAGGTTTTGTTGAATAAATGAATACATGAATGAATGAAGGAAAGAAGGAAAGATTTATCTTATACGCAAATGCCATACGAATCATTTCACAGAGTCAATATAACATGAACAGTTGCAAAATGAAAAGAATTGTGCTGAATGTTTTAGGAATACTTTGATATTTTGGTTGATTGGGTGGCTCATGTCTGTAGTACCAGCACTTTGAGAGGCTGAGGTGAGAACCCAGGAGTTCCAGAACAGCCAGGGTGACATAGCAAAACCTCATCTCTACTAAAAACCATAAAAACTGGCTGGACGTGGTGGCGTGCACCTGTTGTCCCAGCTACTCGGGAGGCTGAGGTGGGAGGATCTAGAGCCTGGGAGATGGAGGCTGCAGTGAGCTATGATCTGGCTGCTGCACTCCAGCCTGAGGGACAGAGCAAGTCTCTGTCTGGTATAAACAAAACCAAAAACTTTGATATTTTGACAAGACCCTGCCTTCAACAGGGGTCTAGTCTGATGGGTTTGGGGAAAAGGAGGGCAGATCAACGAATCCAAAATGGCACATTATCCTAGAATGTAACTGAAGTGCTGCAGGCATGCAGACGCTAGCAGATCAGGGGAGGCATGGAAAGGCTGTGGGGGCTGAACTGATTCAACAAATAGGTCGTTCCCTTCTGATCCATATGGGTGCAGGACACCCAGACAGAAAACACAAAATCAAAATGGAGTGGAGGTCATTTGGAAGGAGCGGCGAAAGCAAACCATGAAACATGAAGATGGTGGGCAGGTTTGGTGGTAGAAGGATTGCAGAGAGGGTTGGATTCGCCCTGTGGACCTGGGCCTCCATTTATAGGCAAATCAGCTAAGGAAGTTGTTCAGGTGGGCAGTGAAGGGGTGGGAGCTGTGTTTGGAAAGCTATTCAGGCAGCACTAGGAAGCCCCCTGGCTTGGGGCGGGACTCGCAGGAAGCCCCATCAGGGAGAATTTGATGATGGATCTGTGTTATGCAAGGACGACCTGAATTTCAGCCTCTGTCATGGGAACCTGGAGGAGGAGGATGGAAAATTGCATTTGGTGTTGATATGGGAAGGAGAGAGACAGAAAAACCAGAAATGGTTGCTTGCTTGTGGGGCAGGGTCGTGTCCACGGCTTTCTCCTTAGGACGGGTTTATGTTTCCTTTTGTTTGATTCTACTGTTTGTCAACTGCATTTGTGTTTGTTTTTAGAAAGAGCAGACTAAGAACGCCATAGTATAATCTTAATTTTATATCTATAATTAATTTATATCTATAATTTTTTTAAATCTATAAGTTTTATACACAGAGTAAAGAGGAGAACTAGGGTCAAAAAATAGATGAAAGGTTGGAATCCCACTTCCTCCACTGTCCCAGGGTGTTGGATATTGATGGGGGTGAAGAAGCAAAGTACTCACAGAGCCAGGAAGAAATGAATGCGTTGGTATTGCCATGAGAAGAGGCCGGCACGGCTAAAGTACGCTATGACCATAGCCAGGAGATACTGATGGAGAGAAGGGAACACAGAGAGAGAAAGGTTGGTCACATCCTGGAAGAGGAAGATGGTGGAGATAAGGGAACAGGGGCTGGGGTGCAGCTGCCTATTGCAGAAGGAACCTCAGTGTTGGGTGGCTATGCTCACTGGATGCTTGCGGGTGGAGAGGTGTTCAAAGTCAGCTGCAAATTCGGAAAGTCGGGAAGGGAGGTCTGTGATGCTCCCATGATGATGAGCTCCGATGGGATCGTTGGAGGGAGTGTGTCTAGGGCAGCTAATGTCAGGAGGGTCTTGGTGAGCTGGAGCAAAGGACTGTCCCAAAGATATGAGAGGATAGGGGTCAGGAGTTTCAGGACTGTGGCCCAGGGATTCAAGCTCTGGGCAGAGGCAGGGGCCACCTGTCCACTAGGCAATAGGCCACGAGAGCCCTGAGGGAGATGCTGACAAATTATAAAAAGATTAACAATAGCCGGAGTGTGATGACTCACGCCTGGAGTCCCAGCTATTGGAGAGGCTGAGGCGGGAGGATGGCTTGAGCCCAGGAGGTTGAGGCTGCAGTGAGCTATGACGGCACCACTGTATTCCAACCTGGGCAACAGAACGAGACCCTCTCTCCGAAAAAATAAAAGTCAAAATGTGGGCGTCCAAGACTATGGGATCAGCGGGTGGGAGATGGTGGAGGGAGAGAGGAGAGAAACTGTGGTTTTAGATGCTGCACCCTCCCCCAGGACATGTGTTAAAACAGGAACACAGTTGAGTGGAGAACAACCTTACCTTGTCTGACACCCTCAGATCTTTGTCCCAGGCCAGGAATTTTTGAATGACAGGATCCTCTGTGAAAAGAGAGCCTGTGTCAGGGTAAGAAGCGGAACAGGATTGCCGTGGGAGCAACAGAGCAGACAGGAGAACTGTGCCCCTCTGGGGGAAGTCTCAGGATTGTGGCCAAGGGTTACGTGGATGGGAGAGGAGAGAAGGACTTTCACTGGGCAAGGAGGGAGGCTCCCGCTCTGAGACTGCCCTGAGGAGAGGCCGAAGGAGGCCTTTGGTGTCAGAGTCTACAGGATGAGGAGCTGTGAATAAGCCATGATGTCCTCCCATCATACGTGAAGGGACCACCGCAGAAGTCATAATGGAATTCCCGTCATGGCTTCCGGAGATAGTCACAGCTGGGTGTGCCCATGACCTTGTCATCCCCCTCCATGGATGGAGACACTTAGGTTTAGAAAAGTCAGCAAGAGACATAGAGTTTCAGAGGGTTCAACTGAAACCAAGCTTTCTTTTGTCTTTTATTTTATTTATTTTATGACAAGGTCTTTCCCTGTCTACCAGGCTGGAGTGCAGTGGTGTGGTCATAGCTCATTGCACCTTCAAACTCCTGAGAAGAGATCCTCCCACTTCAGCCTCCCAAAGCACTGGGATCTCAGGCATGAGCCACTGCACCTGGCCGGAAACCAAGCTTTCTTATTTCAAGCACAGACCTTTATTAAGACCAGCCTAATCCTCTATCTCCTAAGCATCCTCCTGCCGCATGGATCGCTTACCCCCCAGGAGGGCATATTCTTCTTATTGGGAAAGAGTAATTATTGAAAGTTTCTGCTTTTTAAAAAGAACCGGGTTGGAGGTGCTCTTTGGGGTATCCTCCTACCAAGCAGCCTGTTGAAGGCCTCGTGGTGCTCAGGGAGCACGGAGGATGCTCGCTTGCGCGTCAGCTTCATCTTGAGCCCACACAGCATCTCCACCACCCAGGTGTCCTTGGGCTCAGGGGTGCGCTCCAACTCCAGCTCCTCCTCTGGCTCCTCCTCGGATTCTTCTGACCATTCCCTCTTCTTTTTCATGCCAAGAGATTGAGGCTGGGGGCTGGGATCTACCCAAGGGACTGAGTGAAGAAACCAGGCCATAGTGTCGTGTTTCTGCCATTGATCACCTTAGACCCCGACCCAAAAACCTCATACTACTCTTCCATCCTCCCCAGCCTCGCAGACTGTCAGCTTCTCCAGGCCATGTTTCCACCTTTCTCCTTTGCTGATCCCCATCTGCCCCTCCCTCACCTCCCCGTTCTTCCAGCTCTCTGTCCACAAAACATTTTCTCATCACAGATAAGAACTTTCAACTGGAGAAAAATGGAAACCTTCCCTGAGCTCTTCTGTCTCCTCTCTCTCTCTCTCTCTCTCTCTCTCTCTCTCTCTCTCTTTTTGCGGGGGTGGGTGGGGAGACGGAGTCTCCCTCTTGTTGCCCAGGCTGGAGTGCAGTGGCGCAGTCTCGGTTCACTGCAACCTCCGCCTCCTGGGTTCAAATGATTCTTCTGCCTCAGCCTCCTGAGTAGCTGGGACTACAGGCACACGCCACCACGCCCGGCTCATTTTTGTACTTTTGGTAGAGACAGGGTTTCACCGTGTTAACCAGGATGGTCTCGATCTTCTGACCTTGTGATCCGCCCACCTCGACCTTCCTCTCTCATCTTTTGAGTGAATCTCCTGACCCCCTTCATTGCTCCCCAGGCTTTCTTTCCATGTGGCCATGCTTAGCCCCATTCCCTGCACCCTCCTTCCCCGATCCCTGGCTTTCTGAGTCCCTCCTTTCTTTCCCACGCACCCTACTCAGGTGCTCTGGGTTCCCAGTAACTGGCCCCCTTCCCTCTCCTCAGTCAATCATCTCCCATCACTTCTCCCTCCAGTCACCTCACCTGATGGTCCTGGCACTTCATCGTCCGCCACCACCTGGGGGGACTGCACCGATGTGCTAGGCTGGGGGCTCTCCTCCTCAAATGGAGGGTGCGCTTGACCACTGGCCATAGTCTCTCCCAAACGCTTTGTTTCTGTCCACAGAACCTAGTCCCTGTTCTGTCCAGAGCCTTCCTCCAGACTCCGTTAGGACCCAGAAGAGCGCATTTCTCTATTAGAGGCTCAGGAGAAGTTAGGAGTGAAGAACAGCTCTGAGAAGTTACTGTTGTCCACCTGAGCTCCCAAGCACCCAGACTCCAGTCCTTCCAATCAGGAAGGTCGGAATCTCTGATGTCATCGGTCATTCCAACCTGGCAACCAGTTTGAACAAAAACACGTGTAACTGCCAGACTGATCTCTTTTCTTGGAGATCCGGGGTGAACGGTATCTCCTGGCAATGTCCCAACCTCTGAGTATTGTCCAAAAGCATCCTCAGGGTCTCCGTATTCCTCTTTTCCCTTTCCCAGCAGAGTCTGTGTCTTCTCCATTCTAAACTTGAGGAGTGTTGGGCTCTCCTCCGCGCCATTCCTTCCCATTTCAGAGTCCAGTCTGGTGGGAGAGGGAGGAAGGTGGAAGGAAATTTAGGGTAAGCAGAATGATGAGAGCTTCCAAGAGTGAGATTAGCATATGTAGGAGATTCCGGGCACATTGACTTGTTGAATGAAGACGTTACGTCGAAGCACTCAATGTGGCAAAGCTTTTTGGCTGAATGTTTACTGATATTCACTATCCTGGATCCTATATTGGGGAACATGCATCATTTGCTCTCAAGCATCTTTGAGTCCAAGAGACATTTTGAGGAATGAAAGTCATAGGAAACGGTCTATGGGTTTGCACAGATTTTCAATGGTGTCCACAAGTTCAGAGCATCCATGGATCACCTAAAACCTGCCCCTCCAGTTCAGCTAAAGAACTCTGGTCTATAGATAAACTATTACAACATGTTTATTTCACTTGACCCTAAAATTTCCTACTATTTATGTATTTTATGAATAAAATATCCTGTGTACAGAAAGACTAAAGGGGAAAACTCTCAGCCAGGCCCAGGGGCTCCTGCTCATAATCTCACTCCTTTGGGAGGTCAAGGCAGGAGCATCACTTGAGGTTAGGAGTTCAAGACTAGTCTGGGTGACATAGCAAGACCTCATCTCTACAAAATATAAACAAAGTAATCAGGAATCGTGGCACACACCTGTGGTCCCAGTACTTAGGAGGCTAAGGCAGGAGGATTGCTTCAGCCCAGGTGTTTGAGGCCACAGTGAGCTATAATTGCACCACTGCACACCAGCCTGGAAGACAGAGTGAGACTCAGTCTCAAAAATAATTTTTAAAGAAAAAGTAAAAATATAAGAGCTGGATACTGTCTCAGATACCATCCAAAAAACCTGTGAATTCTGGCACAGCTTCCTAACAGGCTCCTAGGAGTCTCTCGCTGATGGGAAAGGCACAACTGAATGAGGAAGCAGATCCCGTCCCTGTGGAAGTCCAATTGTCAGGAAGCTCTGCTTATGTTGACTGGACCTTCGCATTCATGATGCTTTGAACCATCAGAGCTGGTTGGATCCTTTTACAACAAAACAGAAAATCATCTTTCTCTCCTATTTAATGGGCTTTCAAATATTAGAAGATCAATATTCTGTTGCCATTAAAATTTATCTTCTGTATCATGTAGAGTTCTGATTAATCACTCTTCAAGCCAGTTTTGCATATTCCTCTGTCTTCTAGGCACCTTCTCTAGACAGGCTACAATAAGACAGCCATCTTAAATTATGTCAATATATTGTCCAAAAACGGGCTAAACAGCCCAGGTTTCATCTGATATGTTCAGGGAAAAGCAAAACTATCACTTCTCCCCTTCTCTTTTCCTTCAGTGATGCAGGTTAATACAACAACGGCTGTAGGTATGCACCAAAAATATCGTTAGAGTGAAACAGAAGGGCATTACTGTTGTAACAGTAACAGGCTCATGCCTGTCATCCCTACACTTTGGGAGGTCAAGGCAGGAGAATCACTGGAACCCAGGAGTTGGAGACGAGCCTGGGTAACGTTGTGAGACTCCGTCTCTCCAAAAAAATTTAAAATTAGCCTGGTGTGGTGGCACACACCTGTAGTCCCAGCTAGTTTGGAGGCTGTGTTTGGAGGAAAAGAAGTGCTTTGCAAATACCAGTCTTTCAGTCTAAGGATCTCAACTGGGAACATTAAGATACAGATGTCAGGACCCAGCCCCATAGATTCTAATTCCAAAGGACTGAGGTGAGGGCTGATTTAACTTCATCATTGGAGTCCATTCAGATATGGAACTCTCTGGGTGACGCCGCGCAATAGAGATCCCAAAGAAAGCAAAATCACTCTCAAATGAAATGAGCAGGAAAGATTTTTTAAGCGAGGTACAGAAGACCTGGGCCTCACATGGGAGCGCCGTCACCAGGCTTTGTATCCTTGGCTTAGCGGGAACTTCTGAAGCAGCCTCCAAGGCCCCTGTGTGCTGGTCGACAAGCCCCCTAACATTGGCTCACAGCTGTAATTACAGCACTTTGGGAGGCCAAGGTAGAAGGATTGCTTGAGCGCAGGAGTGCAAGAACAGCCAGGCAACTTGGCGAAACCCTATCTCCACCAAAAATATAAAAACTAGCTGGGTGTGGTGGCGCCTGCCTGTAGTCCCAGCTACTCGGGAGGCTGAAGTGGGAGGAACATTTGACCCTGGGAGGCGAAGGCTGCAGCGAGCCAAGTTAGCGCCACTCAAGCCTGGGTGACGGTGAGACCACGTCTCCATTAAAAGAAGAAACACTAAAAATTTTAACTGAGAATATAAAAGAACTGAATAGCGACTTACAAAATGTCTAAATGATGGTTCAATATGGTAAAGCTGTACATTCCATCCAAATGAATTTAGGAATTTTATGCGATTGCAATCAAAATCTCAGAGAGTTTTCTCCCACAGATGTTGACAAAACAGTGTAAAAGTTCATCTGGAGAATTGAGTACTTAAGGAACCATCCCAAAAGAAAAATGAGAGGGAATGTCCACTATTAGACACCAAAATGTGTTCTAAGGTGAAAGTGTTAAAACAGCTTGTTGCTAGTGTCACTCCAGGCCAAAAACCTCAAGTGTTCTAAGGGCTTGGGCAAGTACCTTGCTCTAAGACAAGCCTGACTTTGTGAGCTGCCTAAAGGCATGAAAACTCACAATTTTCAAAGATACTTCAGTCCAAAACCAAAACAAGACCAAACACACATTTGGAGACCTGGAATGGGCTACAAGGCCCCAATTTATGATCCTTGATACAATAAAGAGAATAGAAAGTTCAGAATAAACCCAAGTTTCTATAGGAATGCATTATATGCTATCATGGCATATCCCCGTGGGGAAAGTAGAGATTATGCCACAAATGGCACTGGACAACTAGCTCATTATTTGGAAAATAGAAAGACATATACAAATGAAACTCCAGATGGGTTTATTTAAATGGGAAATTAAATGTTCAATGTGAAAATTCAGTATGTAGCAGGATATCCAATGGAAATGATACTTTTCTGTTTTTTTTGCCAATGGTGAGAGAGCTGCCAGAAAGCAGCCTTGATCCTCAGAAGTCACAAGGCTCACATGTCATATCTGAGCCTCTGAAGACTTTACAAGTCTAATTTACAAGTTTAAATTCCAACCCAAAGTGTAGAGAGTCTTCACATTCTCACTGCTGTGAACTGAGTGCCTGCCCCCAAAATTCATATGTTGAAACCCTACATTAGTCCGTTTTCACGCTACTGATAAAGACATACCTAAGACTGGGAAGAGAAAGAGGTTTAAATTGGACCTACAGCTCCACATGCCTGGGGAGGTTTCAGAACCGTGGCAGGAGGTGAAAGGCACTTCTTACATGGTGGCGGCAAAGGAAATGAAAGGGAAGCAAAAGCGGAAACCCCTGATAAACCCTTCAGATCTCCTGAGACTTACTCACTATCAGGAGAATAGCACAGAAAGACTGGCACCCACGACTCAGTTACCTCCCCGTGGGTCCCTCCCATGACACGTGGAAATTCTGTGAGATACAATTCAAGTTGAGATTAGAATGGGAACACAGACAAGCCATATCAAACCCTAATCTCCAATGTAATGGTACTTGGATATTCAGCCTTTGGGAGGTAAGTAGCTCCTAAGGGTGGTGCCCTTACAATGGGTTTAGTGTCCTCTGTCTTAGAAAAGAAAGTGCTTGCTTTCTCTCTCTTTGCTCTCCGCCATGTGAGGGAGCAATAGGATGACTGCCATCTGCAAACCAGCAAGCCGACCTTCAGCAGGCACTGTATCTCCAGGCACCTTGATCTTGGACTTCCCGGCCTCCAGAACTGGGAGAAGGAAATGTTTAAGATTCCCAGTCTATGATAATTTGTTAGAGCAGCTCAGACTGACTAAGACACTCACCAATATGGTATATTACCAGTCTCTTAAATGTTTGCCAGTCTGATAGGTGAACTTACACATCTGTATACAGCCATTTCTTCTTCTGTGAGTATCTTGTTCATGTTTGATGCATATTTTAAAAATCAAGTTGCTTTGCATTTTTATTGATTTATAGAAGGCCTTTCTGTGTTCTCGAACATAATCCTATATTTTTGATGCTCACTTCTATTCATCCTAATACTTTTGAATGGATTGGTTGGACCATCATTGGATGCAACAAGGGACAGGGAAGGCAATCAACACAGCAATCCGTGGCAGGCTGACCAATAGCAAGGCACCCAGGCTGATTCACCAAGTCAACAGAAGAATTAGCTTTCTCTCCTTCTAGGCTCAGGATTCTCTAAAAGCAGAGATGGTACTAAAGAGGAGAGGTGGGGCAATATTTGGTTTGTTTACCCTGTGACTACATCATTGAGAGATAGATACAACATATCTGCAGTCCCCAAGAATTTTTTTTTTTTTTTGAGACAGGGTCTTGCTCTGTTGCCCAGGCTGGAGTGCACCCATGATCACAACTCATGCAACCTTGACCTCCCAGGCCCAAGCAATCCTCCCACCTCAGCCTCCTTAGTAGCTGGGACTACGGGTGTGCACCCCTACACCTGGCTAAGTTTTGTATTTTTATAGAAGTGTGATTTCACCATGTTGCCCAGGCTGGTCTTGAACTCCTAGGCTCAAACCATCTGCCCACCTGGGCCTCCCAAAGTGCTGAGATGACAGGCATGAGCCACTGTGCCGGGCCATCACAAGAATGTTTGGAGGGTTCAGGGTCAGTGCAGACTCTTGTTAACTCC